AACGATTCGCTCCACGAACTGAGCCACCTTTAGAACTCATCTGATTCAATGCAACTCAACGAGCTCGATCGATTGGTATATGTTTTATTTTGATACGAATAAAATTTTAGTCAGCAGGACCCTTATTCACAACGTTATCGTCAATGATAATTATAATCAAACATATCATTCGAGACGTCTTGGAACACAGCAACGGTTTCAATTTGGCCGGTCAGCAGTTCAAATTGTCCAGCAAATTGTCCAATAAAAAAACAAAAAGAATACGTATCGGGATTTTATGAGTATTCTCGCCTTTCAACATATATAATAACTATATTCCAACATACATCATTCCATAGAGCTTCGCACATTGTATCGTTTTAACTGTGTTTCATTAGTAGGTGAAGTGCTAGAATGAATCGTCGAAGGTAACACGATGCGAGTCCCTTCTGGAAGTTTTACGGAAACTTTAATGGCCGAAATTTTATTGTTTTCTTTTGAATGAAATGTATACCGATCGATAGAGTTCGCAAAGCTGCATCGAATGACATAAGTTTCAACAGTGGCTCAGTTCGTGGAGCGAATCGTCAAAGGAAAAACTTTTTTTGATTTTTTTCCGTGGGAAAAAATGAATGTCTTTGTTTTCATTTCGGCTACTAAGCTTTCAAAAAAAAATCTGAATATGCCATTGGATAGAGCTCGTCGAGCTGCATCTGGCTCACCGTACTTCTGGTGTGGTTCACTCAATGAAGCGAATCGTTTTGCGAAAAACTCGAATCGGCTACTAACTTTTCTTACATATTCTTTTTTATATTTGAAGATCGATTATAATGGCACTATTAAAATCAAAATTTAATCATATTTTAAATTAAAAGATCAACAATTTTAATTGATTGTTTTTCCATTTTCAATCTGATTGAATTTGAAGGATAAGTGTGGGCGTAAGGCTGTGGCGGTGGGATTCACTAGAAGAAAAGTGGCAGAATATTCAACCTTTGTCATTTAAAAATTTTTCATAAATCTTTGAAGGATTCATAAGCGTAAGGGTATGTGATAATCAAAAGTGGATATGGCTCATATTTGAGTGTTTACTATTCCACAGTGTCGTCAGGAAAAATTATTATTCTAGGATTTCAGTGAACGGATTTAATATTCTGCATACAAGAGTGCAGTATACTACCTTTTCTTCCGTAGTTTTCATTATTCTAAGTACAATATTAGAGTATTTTACGGTTTTTTTTATGATGTAGTCATCCTAATTGTTGTCTGGCATCTCTTATGAGAAGAACAGAGCAAAATAATTTACTTTCGTTTTCTTTTCTTGATTTCGTTATTGTAATAGTTCTGTAGCATCTTGTGAAAGGTAAATAACAAAATCAGCTAGCTTCATTTTTTTTCTTCATTATTGAGGTATTCTAGTAGTCTTTAACTATTTTATAAGAGAAATGTAATCAAAAAATTAGCTTGACTTTTCTTTTTCTTATTTTGTCATTCTTATAATTGTCGTGTATTTTATGAAACAAACCCAATAAGTTAATTTACTTTCTTCTGTTATATAAGCTATGCCAAATTTTTTCCGGCATCTTATAAGAGAAAGGAAAATAATTACTTTAGTTTAATTTTCTTTTTCTTTTTCTTTTTGTTTATTCAATTTTTCTGGTAATTCTTGTGCATTTAATAAGAGAAATGAACAGAGAAAGTTAACCTTACTTTACTGTTCTTCACTTAGTTAACCTATTAGTTCTAGTGCAATTTATAAGAGAATTAAAAGAAAAAAACTTAGCTTTGGTTCTGCTTTCCTCATTTAGTTTATATCGATAGGTGTCGAACATCTTATTGCAACGATGGGAATAAAGAAGATTGTTTGGCTTTGTTTTCCGATGTCTTATGAGAAAAATCAAATCACGTAGTTTAGTTTTCTTTTTCTCAATTCGATTCTGCTAATATTAGTCGAGCATGTGATAAGAAGAATGTAATCAGTTTGTTTACGTATCTTTTCCTTCCATGATTTGCTTTCCTGATTATTATTAAGTATTTATGAAGGACAACAGACTAAAAGTATGTTAGTGCGGCTCCTTTTGGCTATAATGTAGAGCTCACATAGGTCCTTTAGCTTCATTAGATTAATGCAAAATAAGTAAAGCGAAAATTTTTCATAGTGTGTAGCTGTTGTTCAAGATAATCGATTAGAAGAGTAAGGATATATCTTACCGAGTGACTAATAATGAATGGCTGCATTTTGCATTTCTTTTGTCATCACTTAATACGCTTCATGTTGTAAATTGTGGAGCTTTTCACGCTGCATTTTCCGCTTTATTTTGTATTTTTTACTAAAACCTATTTAGTGGTTAAAATATGAAATGCGAAATGCGACCATTCATTATTAGTCATCTAATACGCCATATTTTTTTGTCTTGTTAATATTCGCTTGTTATTTTTATTTATCACATTTTGTTTTTTTTTAATTTCACATTGTCACTATTTTAAGTATAGAATTAGCTGGCAAAAAATCTGTTTTTCATATCTATTATACCAATAGTAGCAGATCGTAACGCGTTGTCCTATACTTCAATCAAGTCACCAACACTAAAATGGGCTATTTTCCAAAATGGAGGGATTTCTAAGGTCTGTAATTGGAAGAAGAAGCCAGAAAACTTAGACTGAAAACTTGAAATCGCAATTTTCTTCGGCAATGTATGTGTATCCCACAAAATAATTCACCTCACTTTTATTTCACTTCGTTTAATTATGATGAAAGTTTTCACCATCTTTTAAATGAAATCGAATAACTTTAATTTTCTTTTTCTTGACTCAATTCTGCTGATTGTTGTCGAGTCTGTAACGAGAGAAACAAAAGAAGCCAGGTTACATTTTACTTTTCTTCGTCATTTAGCTGTTGTGATAGTTTTCCAACATCTTTGGAGGTGAATAGAATCAAACAGTTCAGTTTAATTTCCTTTTGCGCTACAGTCTTTTGTGTCACTGCACTTGAGAATGGATTAAGTTCTGCCGAAATTTCAACCGTTTTAGTATTTTAAGGATCGTTTAGAGAACTTCTTCGTAAATATTAGGAAATTCATAAAATAGAGACTTTCATTTACCAGTTTGAAAGCTCTCTTTAAGTTAATGATCATTTTGAATAGCAGTTTATATCACGTTATATACCCTTGATGTGATTTATAGTTTTCGCTAACCATTGTAAATACCCGCTCAGAAGTGCTTCACATGATTCATCATGGTCATGAACTATAAATAGAAATGTGAAAGTACAACGTATAATAAAAGCTTTTAAGGGTTTATGAGTATTATAAAGCCTTGTCTAGATCTTTTACAAATGGTATTTGAAGGCTTTTTGATATGTTGCCCTTCCACAAAGTCTTTGAGGATTAATGATTCTACAGTTTTTTTTTAATGTTGTAATGTGTATGCTTGTGAGTTTGCGTATGAGTTTCGAAGTCCGGTGTAATTTTGAATTGTGGATAACTTTCGTGACTTTCATTATTCAATCACACACCACATCAACACTACCAAGAAGAAAATATCCTGCGATAGAAGGTAAAGTAAATCATGTTTTAAAAAAAACTCGCAAAGACAATTCCTATCAAAATATGGAAGAGGCTTTTTACTAAGAGATCAATTGTATACCTGGATTCTTACGTTGTCATCCGTCGAACAGTCGGCTTTCCAGCTATAAATAGCATAACTTTTATGTAATCTGATCAAGTGAAATAGGGGCTATCCGAGCATATATTACACTTTATATATTTTTTTTTCTAAAATAAGGAAAAAAACATTCTTACAGTGCAAATAATCATCTATTATTTTAACATTCTTCCCTTAACCTTCTATTAACGCTTTATAGATATATCTTATCCAAGGTAAAAAGTTGTTCTGAACATTTTGGCATCAAAATGTTCAGTTCATTAAATCTTACAATCGCTGAAAGTTTGTGGCTTTTGAAGGCCATCGATGTAATGGTACTACGGTTTCCATGGAACTATCGTGCATACTTACATATACCTAAAGAGTTCACAGGACTTTCGAGAATTCAATAAATATGTCCCTAGATTTTTTTCGACCAAAGACATCTTACTGATCAAGTGCTGAAAACCATATTTTCAGAATTGTCATTTACCTCTGGTAGGTTTGGTCAACTCTCGAAAGTAAAGAGATGTGGGAGTAAGAGAATGGAGCGACTCATTCAATAAAGAAGTCAAACACTGACTGCAGTCAAGTTTCAACGTTTGACTTTCTAGGCTAGAAATATTATAATGCACTAGGTCTTGCTCGTTCTTTTATTTCATAGCTTCTCTAAAGCACTAAAGGAATCTCTTTATTTTTGTTTGATTAATTCCGATGCTCTACTTACACATAGATTGATAGCAATCGAATAATCGTACATTGAATCAAAGAAGAACCCATTAAAGAATTCATAACAATGGCAATATCGATGCACAACAGGATACAATTTCGAGGTATGTCCTTTAATATTGTATTTTGTTTCGATTCTCATTCACCAATTCATCATGTAATCAAGACATCCAATCGCAAGTATCAGTTCGACATTGAATATTTGTTTCTTCACATCGAACCAAAATAGAATATGTTTCACAGACAAAAAAAAATATCTCAATTGAACATAACTGAACAAAAGGAAAATGATTCATCAACTCTTCAATCGATGAAGTTTCATCTATTAGAATAATTCGCGTTGAAAACAACGCAAAAATGAACTTCACTATTTTCAGTTCTTACCAAGTTTCTCCTGTTAACTTTTTGTCTGCTTATTGTTTGTAGGAATATTAAGATTATGTTTATTTATTATACTTGGATTGGCCATTATATCTTCGATCCATTCTTTGAAATCCATCCTTGCCATCTGTCCATTATTAACCACGGAAAATTTGCCAATAATCTCCACCAATGTCCATGTAATCGATCCTGATTCAGAATCGTTGAATCGTGACTTTCCGTGCATAAAAAGCAAAGTAATTCTGGATTTATATCAGACAACGATTTGTATGTATGCTCATGGTGATACAATCAGTAAATCAGTTGTTAACGATCGCATTTGGGAAGAGAAAGAGTTGACACGAATCTTAAGGATACTCATTCGAAATCCGCGTCTATCTATGATTGATATTGGAGCCAATATCGGAGGTTATACAATGTTTACTGCTGGTGCTCTTGATCGCTTGACTTTTGCTATCGATTGTTACATTGGTAATATTGAACGTATCGCTCGAGCTGTGCAAATCGAACATGTTCAAAATCGCATTATTCTTATCCACAATGCTTTATATTCAAGCTCGGGAGTATCTATGATCGTGACCAATGACGATCCGAGTGGAATTAGATTCATAAATGAAACTAAAAACACCACTTCAAATAATCCTTTCGTTGTTCACACCATTCGATTTGATGAAATTCTTCCACTGCTAGAAGCACGAGGTGTACGAAGAGCTTTGATCAAGATCGATATTGAAACTTCTGAAAGTTATATGTGTGAAACAGGTTTAAAAGTATTCGAACGAATTGATATTCCTTTCGTTATGATGGAATGGCATCATTGGAGAGTTAATCATCAAAAAAGATATCAATTCATCGTTGACTTCTTTACTCGTCTTAATTATGTACCAACTGATGAAGAATGTAAAGATCTTGAAACAGACACATGGTTAACTAAATGGTCAGGCAATGTTTTCTGGATTAAACGAATTTATCGGAACGAAAGTTTCTGCTAAAAAAATAGAGCAACATATCAATGTCTTACTTCGAGCAATACATATTTTCAGCTCGATCTTCGTGACAAAAAAAAATACTTACATTCATTTGACATTATTTACTTGGCTTCAACCTTTTCTATGACCTACCAACCTATTTTCTTATACTCACTTTTACATTTGTGTTCTCTGATATTTCTTTCGTGTTTATTGTGATACTTGTTGTGAAAATTTATCATATATCTTTTTAAAACAAATCGTGTCCATTCAATATGCCAAACTTGACATGCCAGAAAGGTTTATCAAGTACTTGATTCAAATTATTAGAGATGCATTCTCCTTTAGCTGCGCCGGGGCATTCAGTATACCATCCTCAAGTTGCTCGAGACTGATGATCAGATAATTAATATGAGAAGCATTTTTGTGGAAAAAGGATTGTAAATGAATATTGAAGTATACAGAGAGAAATACAAATCATTCCAATCCTCTACTGTGTAGAGGTTCGGAGTTTGAGTGTGAGCCTTCTGTCATTGTTCAAGTTTCTTCAAAATTACGATGAATATCTATGTATAATGATATTTGTTCGAATGACTATCATAAATCCATATAGTTCTCGGTAACACTAAGAAGAATCGGCACGAATTTACATCTATACTCTACAAGCCAGAAGAGATGACTGTTTCGCTCAATTTTCCAATCATCGATAAAATTTTGTGGAACTCACATATATTTTTGTAGAAAATAGTAAGTGTAAATTTTAAGTTCAACTTTTCACCGCCCCCCCCCCACCCCGCTCCCCATTACAGGCAATAGCAACTTCACCAAAAAAAAAAGAAAAAATTTCTGCTTGAAGAATAGAAATAAAAGCGACAACCTTCGCTGATAACCGATAATCATTACAAAGAACGATCGTCTTTTAGAGAATTTCAAGATTGTATATTTTTGTCATTAGTATAATGCAGCTAAAGAAGATATGTAGGTTTCACTTTGCATCTCCAGACGGGCTATGTTAATAAGCTTTTTTTTGCTAAATTCATTTTATTCTTTTTTTCTTGAAATCAATTTATTAGAATTATTCCATTTATTCTTCATGAGCTTTTAGATTTAGATGCTTGCAAGTGACAAGAGATAAAAAGTTTCAGTGAATAATACTAAAAAGTAGCTGTCATTTTTTTCTCTTCTACAAACACATTGTTTTCTTATCAAATCATATAAAACGTGTCAAGTTTCTTAATCAAATAAAAATTGTACGAATTTAATTTAATTTTTCAAGGTTTTTTTTTAAATATGTATTGTAAGATACTCACATTCACTAATTATTTAGATCAACAGTTTTATTTTCGTTTATGATTTTGAAATCATTCAGAATAGGGTATAATTCAAAAACCTTTTGAAGAGTTCTTCCACGAGGGTAAAATCAAGACGACGATAACTGCACTCACATCCAAATATCTTCTCAAGATTCAATAAAAACTGTTCTCGAAAGAAGATAAGAAGAATGGCTGTATATTCGTGTCGCAGTATTTACAATAATATCAAGTTTTATTGAGTTAAATAACATTGTCTTTATCTTGTGATTTGAGAAGTCTATATTTTTGAAAAAGAAAGAAAAAGCGAAGCTTAATTAGAAGTTAAATGTTTATCAAGTATTTTATTTTATCTTATTTCTCGTCAAAAAGCTCTCTCAATTCTTCTTATCAATTAAAGAACAGTATTTTTAAATAGTCAAATAACGCGTCAAGTACTTTAGTAAGCGCAGGAGTATATCTATCAAAGCAATATCAAAAAATCCTTGACTACTTATCAATTCAGATTATGAAGGTACACTCGTTCGTGCTATTGCTCTACGCTATATTTCTTGGTATAAAAACCAACAATGCAGCAACCTTGTTGTCCAATAAGAATATCGATGCAACGGTTCAATACTATCAACATCTTATTGCTGATGATGCTAGCAAGTTCTCTGAGCTGAATATATTCTTAACATCAATGCCTAAAGGTGGTGATTTACATCATCATTATTCGGGTTCTATCTATTCTGAAACTTATCTCGATTGGGTTGCTAAAAGTAACCATTGTATCTACCGTGAAGATGATAAAACTCTCAATGTTCAAAAATATAGAATAGAAACCAGAGTTTCCGGACTGTCAGACGCAGCCAAGGCTTTGTGCATAACTGTTAGTGAAATACGTCGAAATAACGAATTCTACCGTGAGCTGTTGAAACATTGGTCAAACATTGACTACGCTAACCATTATCATGAACAACCACCGCCAGATCGACAATTTTTCGATACTTTTGGTTATTTTGGTCCTACTGCTAATAGTTACTATAACGAGGGATTAATGTGGTTAAAAAATACAGCCATAAGTGAAAATGTACAATACATGGAAACAATGTTGAGAAGTGGTCCGAATCTCGTCGTCCCAAATGAATTCACTATCATGCTAAATTCCTTAACTTCGAAATCTAACGACTCTGAAATAGATAGGGTACTAACAGACTATTTCAACACGGTTGCAAATGATATTAATGTCAATACTACAATCAATAATTATGTGAAAACAGTTGAGACATCAGTCTCTGGAATTAACGATGCAAACTTCACATTACGTTTCCAAGCTTATGTATCCAGAGATGGTTCGCCTTCCCAGGTGTTTGGTAGTCTGTTCTCTGCTTTTAAGGCCGCCACACATAGTGATCTAATAGTTGGTGTCAATATTGTCGGTCCAGAAAATGGTATTGTACCGATGCGAGACTATACGCTACATATGAAAATGTTTCGCTTTCTCAAGCAACAGTTTCCCACTGTAAAACTTGCAATGCACGCAGGAGAGTTAGTACTGGGTCTAGTGCCTCCAGAAGAGTTGCAATTTCACGTCCGTGAAGCAATAGAAATCGCTGGAGCAAGTCGCATCGGACATGGCATCGATATATTTTACGAGCATAACGCCTATGAACTATTGCAAAAGATGAAACAGCTCAATATAGTAGTCGAAGTGCTTATAAGTAGTAATGCATTCATACTTGGTGTTAAAGACGGCGCACATCCCATGTTGCTATATAAGGCGCATGGTGTACCCTTAGTAATTGCCACGGATGATCCAGGTGTATCACGCTCAACTTTAAGCAATGAATATTTGATGTTTTGTGATCGCTATAGACCGAGCTACGCAGAACTGAAAGCGTTAGTGTACAATAGTATTCGATTTGCTTTTCTCAGTGAAAGCGAAAAGCAGGAACAATTGAACAAATTAGATGTTCGTTTTGAAAATTTTGAAGCGATGATTGCCAATGTGGTCAGCAATATGAATGCCACAAATGTTTCATCTTTGAGTTGGTCTTCGGGACGATTTACATCGCAGATAACTTTATTCTGCTATTTCTTGTACTTTTTAATCAAAATAGGACTTTGACAATCATTTGCAATATAAAATCAGAAAGATTTAGAAGTTATCGGTCGTAAAGAGACGCCGAGGCCTTTGAAGTTTACGAAAAACAGACATTTTCGTGCATGTCTTTGTGGATGTATGTCTTTCCTTCAGCCATATACCTACACTCTTAACTACATCCACATCCACACCCTCTAATATAATCAATAATTACAAGTGTTGGCTGTTTAAAGTACAGACCTCTCAAACTGATTTGATCGTTGTCATTCATGCTAACAAAGTCTGAAAAAGTCGATAATAATCTTACACATATCAATCTATACATCCCACAAATGAATCTCCAGGTCAATCGAAATTATCTTTGAACAGAACAGGTAAATATAAAAATTAATTTTATTCATTGTTGTATTCAATAGAAGTAATTTCTGTGTTTATCTATGATTGTTGTTACTTGACTATATATTTATTTTATTGAATACAATAAACAAAATTTATTTTCTACATGACAAAATATATTTGTAAATAGTCCATTTAAATCTCAGCGTCTGTCGTGTTCAAAAGAAAAGCATTAGAAGCTTAATTATTTCAACGATAGATAGAACAAAGTCTGTGCTTTAAAATGAAATATTTTCAAAAAAAAATTAGAGTATAGTTTAAGACTTCTTTTTTGTTTTTAAATCAATAAAAATGGACTGTTACGTTATAATTATCTTCGGGCTTCTTCGTGTTTTAACTTGCATTATGTTAACAAAAAAAAAAGATGAGAGTAAGTTCAAACTTGGAGATAGTAGATTGTGGAAATTGGGTTTGTCGAAAATATATTTTCCAATTTTCTGCGTTTTCATCGTGATCAGTAATTAACATTTAAACCAAAACAAATAGATTTCAAGATTTTTGAAGAACATTTTGCATATTTGTAGCGTCATAAATTTCTGAAAGATGTAGCTTTTGAAATCCTACAAAATCTGCATGAAACGTAAGAAACCAAGATTACATTAAGCTGACAATTAACGGAGCATAGAACGCGTACAAAACAGCACTTGATAACTAGACACTTTTATGGCTCGACAGTGCCCAATGTATTTGATTTTAATGTTTCTAGAATTAAATCTATAAAGCTGATCAAAATTTATATTCCATTGTAAAGCATTGAAAATTATCACAAAGTGAATATATAATGGAATCTTCAATTTTACCCTGATTACAGACCATTTTGAGTGATTTTTAAAAAATTTAAAATTATAAGTCTTCAAATACACGCGATTTGTTTCTAAAAATTCAACGATACAAATACTACGACTCTAATTTGCTTTTTGATCAGTTTTTGGTATCTACTATCACTATAAAAATAGTATCATGCATAACCAGACAGCTTTAAATTATAAAGTTTATTGAACTTATAAATTATCAAATCGTTGTTATATACCTTTTTGGATAGTGGATCCATTAAATCGATTTGGAAACGAATGAACTTAAGTTAACTATCGAAAATTCTAGTTCTCGAATATCTACAACTTCTAATAGAGACTTAATAATCACTATCATTTGTGAAAAATTGTTCATTACCAGTACTTCGTTAGTTAATGCAATATTCAGTCTCAATGTTGATGATGCTATATATTTGCCATCAAGATATTTAAAATCAACGAAATAAATGTAACATTATTTTAAATTTTTTTTCTGAGAGAAAACTAAACTATCATCATTTTTGTTTTATAACAAAGAAACAATCTTCATCATTGTGAATCAATAATAGAGCAGCATCCAATCACCCGAAGATTTTCGTCAATGTTTTCAATCAAATTTCGACGCAGTTACGAAAAAAAACTCGCAGCTACACATAATTGCGATTTTTTTTTTCGTAACTTTGTCGCAATTACGGGTCACAATATGATTGTAGTTGTTAAAAGAGAGACGACATGGATGTTTATGTCACTAATCTAAAAATAGCTGATCTTTAATTTGAATTTACTTTCTTAGAACAAATAATAACTTAATCAATATGTATAATAATTATTTCAATAATATCAAATATTAATTGTATCATCTCTTGTACTGAACTCATTAGAAATAAGATTCTTCATTCACAGAATAATAGTCTAACATCGATAGGTGGTGTTATCATACAAGTAATAATAGTCAAACTCAAAGATCGAATTTTTCATATAACGTTAATGCATTTTTTAATTTAATTACTCATAATTATATACGATTCATATTTTTCTATTACTTTTTTTTCTATAACTTTCTTATTGGTTACACTCGATGTGAGCTATATGTCTTCTCTTGATCGCTACTTTCAATATATTTTAAGTATTGAAAGTTGCGACATAGTTATTGTATTGAAATAAAAAAAAAAAATCTACTATTTTTGGTTGTTTAATTGAAATTTCTGTCTAAATCATGGCTGGTCGATTAACACGCGGGTAGATAGGAAATTTATGATCATGATTGCATCATATACATTTCATCATACAATTTCTTTAGATTTTTTCATCGTGATTTATCTGGTATAGAAGCAGAAAAACTTCTTCAAGAAAAAGGTATTCCCGGTAGTTTTCTTGTACGTCCATCAACAACAAAATCAGATGCTTATGTACTCTCAGTTCGGTATGAAAACAAAATATATATGAAATTTTATTCTTCTTTAAATTCAAATAGACGAGCAAATGGAGAAATAACACATATACGTATTCAACGAACAAATGATGGATTTGATTTAGGTGAAAGACAAGAATGTTTTTCAACATTATATGATATGATTGAACATTATCGTCAAAATGTTGGTGAACTTCGAGAAAAAAATAATGATATTATTGAATTAACTGTTCCTATTTTAGCACAAATGCCAACACTTGAAAAGTAATAAAAAACAAAAAACAAAAATGAATTTCATTATTTAATATCTTTCTTTTTTCTTAGATATTATCATGGACCAATATCTCATAGTCAAACAGAATCAATATTAAATGCATGTGATCAAATTGGTCTTTTTCTTGTTCGAGATTCTGAAACTATACCAGGTGATTATGTTATTTGTGTTAAAACACAAAATGATATAGCTAATATTAAAATAAAATGTTTAAATGGTGAATGGTTTCTTGATGGTAAAGGTCGACGTGAACAAATTGATCGTTTTAAATCATTAGATGATTTAATACATTTTTATTTAAAACATAATATACTTGTTGCAACAAATGGTACTGCATTTCGTCTTGTTCAACCATGTACAGCTAATTGGTTTCATGCACGTGATATACATCAACGTTGTGAACATTTATCAAAATTAGTTGCAACACAACATGGACATCGAACAGGTTTTAGTTTAGAATTTGAATTATTAAATCAACAATCCGAATGTAAATCATTTATGTATCATAAAAGACATGGTGAAAAATCTGAAAATCGTACAAGAAATCGTTTTAAAAATATTTTACCATATGATGAAACACGAGTTATATTAAAAAATTATTCGATTACAGATTATATTAATGCAAATCATATTCGTCCACCTATTGAAAATATTGGTAGAGGATATATTGCTGCACAAGGACCATTAACAGCAACAATTAATGATTTTTGGTATATGATACAACAAGAAATGGTTAAATGTATTGTTATGATTACAAGAGAAACAGAAGGCATGAAGGTATTTTATTTGAGTTTGATTAGAAAAACTGTTAGTATAATCATTGTGGGATTAAAATATAAAACATAATATATTTACTATTGTTATTAATTACAAGAAGATTTTACTTAATCCTATGAACATAGTTCATACATTATTGATATACATGTTGTGTGAGAGATGATACAAATTTTTTTCTCTATATTTCAAAGTTCATGTTTTACAAAATTAATTTTATGCATAGACAAAGAAGATCAATGTTCATTCATCTTACAAATGATTGAAAAACATGCATAGTTTTTTTTTTTTAATAAAAATTTATTTTTGTAAACTTTGATAATTATCATTCGGTATATTATATTATAAGCAGCATATATTGAAAATCTCTTAATGTAAACGAAGATTCGAACATTCTATAAAATACATTTTGTTATTTCTTTTTTTTGAACATTTCAAATTGAAAAGATGAAAAGTATTTATACTATTGAAAATTATATTTAACAGTATATTTTTATTAATAAATTGCTTTTGTAATGAGTTCTATTTCATTAGATAGGTCGTAGTTCTCTTCGAACTACCTTCAAAATCGATCTTATATATTTAAAATTTGAGACTCAAAAATTAATGTCATAAGAAAGATTCAATCGTATTAATCCTTTTAGATTTTCTTTAATTTCAATACGATCTATCTAGTAAAAATCGAAATATATTCATACAGAACAGTGTCCAACATGAGTCGGATCACTAACAGTTGACCAATTTCGAATATTGAAACAGTTCTTATAAATATATTGAAGAAATTATTAACCTATGAAAAAAAAGAACTCATTTTTCTTAACAAAAAAAATATCTTTGACTTCGAGTTGAGTTACAAAAAAAATTGTCCCATGTTTATATTTATCTTATTATTTACAAATAAAATTTATTTCATAGAGTAAATGTGCACGATATTGGCCTGAATTACATACAATAAAAACGTATGGTTCAATAACTGTTGAAAATTTAAATGAATCAAATTATGGTCCACCTCAAACACCTAATAATACTTCACGTACACTTCGTTCACTTCCATCAGCTGGATATCAATTAGCACAACAACCAACTAATGATGATGATTGTTATTATCGTTTACGTACATTAAAAATAACAACAGAAGATGGACGATCATGGGAAATACTTCATTGGCAATATTTAGCATGGAGTGATCATAGTAAGAGAACAAAAAAAAACTTCGTTAGCACTATAGAAATATCAAATACGGAAATAGTTTATATATTAGAATGAGATGTCATTAATATTTTGCAAAAAAAAAAAAAAATTAATTTTGTTTTCTTAATTATTTTAAAGGTTCACCATTAGTATCAAATCAACGTGATAATATTCAACTTAGTGTACTTCTTGAATTTTTTGAAAAAATTGGTCGTTCAAATTCAGTTGGTACTGATATAAATACATCACCAATGATTGTTCATTGTAGTGCTGGTATTGGTCGATCAGGTGCAACAATAGCAATTGATATGATACTCAATCGAATACGTACAGAAGGATATGATACAGAAATTGAAATACCTGGTTTAATTACACATATTCGTTCACAAAGATCGGGTATATTTTCGATAATAAATAGATCTTTTTTCTTTTTTTTTTTTATTATAAAAATAATTTTTGTTCTTTTTTTTTTTCTCTCTCGCTTACAAAGGTCTTGTGCAAACTGAACGACAATATGAATTTATTTATCGAGTTATTGAATATTATGTTGAACAACATATGAAACAAACTCAAAATTCACCAGATTATATGAACATGCGATGAACACATTAAATATAATACAGGCTTTTGTTGTCAGATTGATTTTATTCTTTGTAGGCAAATTCAAAAAACTTTTTTTTGTACAGTGATCTAAAATGCCTGTGTATTTACAGTGTTATGTGCAATGTTCTTTTATGTTGTCGTTCAATTAAAAACCCCGTATATATTTGTTTCTTTTTTCTTGCAGTGGCATTGGTGCTGCTTATTTTCTTTTATAATTATATTTAAAAAATATATAGCATTTGTTTTGTGTATTTTTATCATTAATTTCAGATGCCTACTATTGGTGTTAAACGAAGTTTACTTTTTAATGAACTTGGTCAAAAATTTAGTGAGTTAAATATAAATTAATTAAGAGAACATAAGTAAATTTATTGAATTTATAATTTTTGTTTTTAGCTGATGAAGAATTTGATCAATTATGTTTTGATTATGGATTGGAATTAGATGATATTGTAAGTAATATATAATACAGGCCCGTACCCAGAAATTTTCTGAAGAAAGGGCCTATCATGGGAAAATTAAAAAAATTTGCTGGAAAAAAAACGTATACCTATACCTCTCTACAGGCGTCTTCAGTCCTGAGGAGGGGGAGGAGCTCGAACCCCATGGGCCTCCCTTAGGTACGTGCCTGATATAATACTAGTTGATCATTAGAAAATGTGAGATTTTGTCTTAGGATTAGTTTTTTGAGAAAAACAAAGAAAAATGAAATACATATGTGTCAGGAGATCCTAGTGAAATCTAAGTCTCTTCTATAGCATATAGAAATTTTGCGTCATGAACTCAAATTAATATGTTCGGAACACATACTTGAAATAGCTTTGACATACTCTTAGAGTTCACTTTGCACGCTTCGTATAGAATCGATATATTGGATCTTCGTCGATAAGACATGTAGTTCACATAAAAAGATTCTAATAAACTAAAACCAAGTTCCAGAATTCATGATTACCTCGATGATGATATATATTGATAATCGAAGGGGATCATACAACTAACGAAAAGTAAATCTAGAGATCAAGAGCATTTTTTCATAGACGAGGCGAACATGTGTTTTTCTTTAGCTTAGAAAAGACCTTAGTTTCTATTTAATATATAGTCTTATCATCATCTCTCAAATGACAATATAATTTGAAAAAGTCAAATCCGATAAAAAAAAAACTTTTTTTTTAAACCATCATTCATTGCTGACGTTTATCTTCAATAAAAGTATTTTTATATTTAAAAAAAATGACTTTTATTTGATAGACCGAAGATTTTCTAGAAAACTCTTAGCTCAAGTTTGGAACTAGTGGCGAAACCAGGCTTTTAACGGTGGAGGGGCTCAGCTGGTCGAGCTCTAAGCCAGTGGTGGGGCTCAAAGCCTTGGTGGTGAGGCTTAGCCCCACCTGGCCACCCCCTGGTTACGCTACTATTTGAAACGTTTATGCTAACGCTATATCGATTCTTTGAATTATCACAGATTTCTATAAAAGCGAAGTTTTTATTTTATACAAATCTAGCTTGAGATTATATATGTTTTTTTTTTTCATTCACAGTAGAAAAGGCTTCTAATCCTTACAAATATTGATGAAGTATTCCAATTAATGCTGATAAGCGAAACAAAAAAACTGTATACTTTCAATTTTTGATTTAATATATGCATTTGAACACCCATCGTGTTAGAATAGGTTTGAGTTTATCATAAAATATATTAACTGATGTTCTTTAATAAAAATTTCATTAGAAAATATGACTTTTATTTAGGAACCTTTACCAGAAACAAATGGTGAAGATGTAGAATATAAAATTGAAATTCCAGCCAATCGGTTTGTTTTTTATTCTATGCCTCTTGTTTGTTTTTTAAATTTTTTTCTTACAAAATAAATTTTTTAGTTTTGATATTCTTTGTTTGGAAGGTTTAAGTCGAGGATTAAAAATCTTCTTACAAAAGTATGTTTATATTTTTATTAATTGTTGATAAAATCAAAATTTAAATTATTTTAGAGCTGAAATGCCAAAATTTCATATATCAAATCAAAAATTAATTCGAATGAAAGTTTTACCAAATGTATATTAATTCTTGTTTCTTTACGTAAAAAAAAAAGTTTTTTTTTTTGTTTGATCTATTAGACTAAACGTATACGTCCTATTGTTGTTGGTGCAGTTCTTCGTAATATAACATTTAATACCGATAGTTATAATAGTTTTATAAAATTACAAGATAAACTTCATTTAAATTTATGTCGAAATCGAACCTTAGTTGCTATAGGAACACATGATCTTGATACAATTAAACCACCATTTATATATGATGCTCGTGAACCAAAACAAATTAAATTTCGTTCATTAAATCAAAAAGATGAAATGCGTGCTGATGAAATGATGGAATTTTATCTTGTAATAAATTTTCATTTTCAAAAAAAAAATCAATAAATGTATTTTTGTTTTTTTTTTATAGAAAGATACGCATCTTAAACGTTATGTATCAATTATTCAAGATTCTGATGTTTATCCAGTTATTTATGATTCAAATAATGTTGTTTTATCACTTCCACCAATAATTAATGGTAATTTAGAAAAAAAAGACTATGAAATAATCATATACTAGCGAGAATCCGTGCATACTGCACAGCTGGTTTCTTATTTAACGTATGACTTCAGACGTTTAACTGTTCATCCGATGACAGACATATAGATACGCGATATTATGTATATAGATCGAAGCCTCACGGTCTCGCACTCTTATATCGCACATGTTTTTATAGTCCATGTAGCCATATGTCCTTATAGCCTTATATTTCTTGTACTTCTTGTAGCCTTATTTCTTTACTGTCTTACACCCTTCAGGGCCTATGAGTACCCTATAGGACGGCCCTTTATGATCCCTGGGTGCCCTCATATTATAGCTCTTGAGAACCTATGGGTACCTCCATAGGATAGCCCATGAAGAACTATGAGTACCTCCATAGGATAGCCCTTGAGGAAGTCTGGGTACCTCCATATAATAGCCCTTGAGGACCTATGGGTACCTTCATATAATAGCCCATGAGGACTTATGGGTACCTTTATATAATAGCCCTTGAGGATCTATGGCTACCCCCATATAATAGTCCTTGAGGACCCATGGGTATCCTAATATAGTAGCCCTTGGGCCTTCCGCTTATAGCCTTATTTGAACTTTGACCCGGCACAGACAGACAGACACTGAACATTATATATATAGATATAATATTTTATTTTGATTTCTTTAGGTGATCATAGTAAAATAACTGTTCAAACAAAAAATGTTTTTATTGAATGTACTGCTGTGGATTTACATAAAGCAAATGTTGTACTTAATATTATGGTAACAATGTTTGCTCAATATTGTAGTAAACCATTTGAGTATGAAATATATATTTTATTTATTTTTATAATATTAAGAATTATCTTTTAAAATAGAATTGAATCAGTAGAAGTTGAACAAGTCGATGGAAAAGTAATTGTATATCCGGTAAGATAAATTTTTTGTTTTTTTTTTTTTATTGATTTAATAAATTAATTTTAGGATTTAAATGATCGAGTTCAAGATATATCAGTAAAAAAAATTAATCAACGTATTGGCATACAGTATTATTATTCGATTCAAAATAAAAAATAAAAATCATATTTTTGAAAATTTTCGTTTTTTTTTTCTAGAGTCGATGCTGAAAAAACAGCAGTACTTTTAAATCGAATGTGTCTTGGAACGAAAATTATTGATTCTGATACAATACGTGTTAATATACCTGTAACACGAGCGGATATTCTTCATTTTTGTGATATAGCTGAAGATTGTGCCGTAGCATATGGTTTTAATAATATTCGTAAAACAGTTCCACAAACAAGTTGTATTGGAAATCAAGTAAATATGAAAACCAAAAAGAGAGAATATAGCAAAGATTTTCTTTTTTTTGTAGTTTGAACTTAATCGAGTATCTGATCTTCTTCGACATAGTGTTGCTGAATGTGGTTTTATAGAAGCATTAACATTTACATTATGTTCATGTCCTGATGTTGCAGAAAAATTTGGAAAAAATATTGAAAATATTCCTGCAGTACATATTGCAAATCCAAAAACCCAAGATTTTCAAGTAAGAAGAAAATATTATAGATTATATTTATTAATATAGTCGATTGAAAAGTTTTTTTGTCAAATTTAACTAAGATTTTCTTTAAAGTACAATTAAAAATTGAATTCAAACATTTTATCTTTTGTTTTCTAATAAAATTAATTTTTTGTTTTGGTAAAGTTCATCGAAAAACTTTAAAATACATTTCAGTTAACTCAATCAATTGTGTAAATTACAAATTTATTATTAATTTTGATTTCAATCGTATGAAACTTAAGTTTTCTCTTACGTAAAAAAAAAAAATTTCATCTATAAAAAAAAAAGCGAAAATTAATAATCCTTTTTTTGAGGATAATTAAATTCTAATGAATATCATTAATAATGAAAGTTTAATTTAGATTGGTCGTACATCACTTTTACCAGGTTTATTAAAAACAATTGCAAATAATCAAGGTACTGCATTACCTATTCAATTATTTGAAGTATCTGATGTTATTCTTAAAGATTCAACACGAGGTATGTTGTATTAACGAAAGGAAAAAAAATAAAATAAAATTTTATATTTCTATTTTTAGAAACTGGTTGTCGAAATGAACGACGTTTATGTGCAATTTTTTATAATAAAACACCAGGTTTTGAAACAATTCATGGATTACTTGATCGAATTATGACATTAGTTAAAGTACCATATAATGAAAATAGAACTAATGATAAAGGTTATTATTTAAATAATCAATGTGAAGGTAAAATTCATTTTGTTTTTGATTTGAAATAATTTTGACTTTTCTTTTTTTAACATTTTTTAGATAGTGCATTCTTTCCTGGTCGTCATGCACAAGTCATTGTTGGTGGTGAAAATATTGGTGTTGTTGGTGTTCTTCATCCTAATGTTATTGAACATTTTGGTTTAAAACTTCCTTGTTCTATACTTGAGATAAACATTGAACCATTTGTTTAAAAGAAAAAAAAACATCTTTATTCTAATTGATGACGACTTATGTTTTATTGAAATAAAATCACGATGCTAAACAAAAAAAAAAAGAAAGATCGATCGATCGAATTATAAAATTCTTTTTTTTTTTTGGACATCATTATTTAATAAATTCATGATAAACAAATATGAAAATGTTTATATAAGTACATTGATGGATAAATAAGATAGAATTAATCATTTTTTTTGGTATGATTATTTTATCTCAGTTAAAATCATTGATACAGAAACATCTAGAGAATAGCTTGCTCTTTCGTTTCATTTAGTAAAAATAGAATCAAATTTGTGCATTGTAAGTACTGCAAACTGAAAATTATTTTATATTTTCTTGATTCAAATCACTATTGAATATAAAAGAAATCGAAAATAAACATTACTGAATACTTTTATACTGTAGATTCGTATATTGAAGAGATTAAAGATTTATAAAGTTATAGTAAGTAAATCGACTATGTTCTATACGATTTCAAATGTGAAAATCAATTTAAAAGAACTTGATGTAGTATCTGCGGCATAGTAATTAGCTAACGATTCGAGTTCTTTTCAGGATGTTCATAGCTCATTTGAGTCTACATCAGAGATGTCCATCGCGGCAGAACCTTTGCCGTTGCCACGACGCGATGGTACACAAAAGAAAAGCTACCGCGACGCGCTTAGAACGAGCGATGCCGTGCCACTGTCGCGCTACGATGCACTAAAAAGAATCTTGCTGCTGCCGCGATGCTATTAAATGTGCAATTCATATCTATTATAATCTTTTTATTTAAGTAAATGAGATATTTAAACGCGCGTATCTCATGCCAAATTCTTATCATTATTTTGAATCAAATGAAATATCTTATGAACGATTATTATTAGAAATTGAATTATTAAAACAATTACAAGAAATTAATCTTCTTAAAAATCTTGATTGGAAATTCTATGATACATATGCTTTAAAAATATTTTTTCAAGCTGGTATATATGAAGTTAATGATGAACTTTTACAACGTTATAGAAATAATTCAAATGAATTTGAACAATATAATTTTATTTCTCAATGTATTGAAAAATATCAAATATCTTCAATAAATGAAAATTTTAAACAACAACAAACTTCTTTAATTATTATTCTTAATATAATATTTGTTTTCATTTGTATTTTATTTGTTATTGGACTCTTTACTTATGAATATATTAAATATGATCATCAACATTCTTTATTCAAATTACTTGATCATCCATTAACATCTAAACGACGTCATCTTTCATTTACAGATGATTTACTATTAATTCTTTTAACATTTACTAGTAGTATTATCTTAGGTTGTATAATAATAGCAACAAGATATAATCGAAAAATAATTCTATTTGAAATATTTGCATTATTTATTATCATTATATTACTTATTAAAAAAAATCATCATATTATCATATTTTTATTAACATATCGAGAATTACGTTGGTCTACACTTTATGATTATATGTACTCATAGTAAAAATACAGTCTTTTTTCTGTTTGCAGATTTCTTAAGTATCTCAGAAATTGTAAAAAAGAAAAAAAAACAAATAGAAAGTGTTCTGCTATTGATAATTGAAAAATGCTTCATTTTGTATTTGTTTTAAAGTAACAAAAAAAAAAAAAATAAGTTGCAGAATAAATTTATTAAACAAAAAAAAATGTCCAAGCAACAACATCGACATACTCGTACTATAGAATATTGGGCTGGAAAAAAACTTCAAAGAAGTGCATCTGATCTTTTTCTTGATCGACCTCGACCAGGATATACTATTTTTACAGGTATAATTCATTAATGAAATTCATATCTTTTATTACTTTATATATATATTTCAAAGGTCCAAATGCACTTTGGGCTCAACAATATCCTATTCGAGATTTGATTGGAGATATTGGTGAAGGAAAAACATCAACACTTCGTTCGCTTGATCTTGGATATTTAACAAGGTATTTACATGAAATGAATTTATCATAAAAAAAAAACTAATTTTTTTTTTGGCATATTTCAATTGCAGAGGATATACAATGGCTCCACCAATTCGTCGTTTTGCATATCCTGGTGAAATTGGTTGGACTGCAACATATTTTCGTCAGACTTTAAAACGAACTAAATCAAATATACTATGGGACAATTAAATTTTCTTTTTTTTTTCTCTAAATAAAATAAACTTATTTGTCCTGAATCACAGCGCCATCTTTTACACATCAATATGTCATAGGAAGTTACGGAATAAATAAACATCGATCAGTTGTTGCTTATATGTAAACCTAGAAATAGCTTTTGACATAGTTTTTTTTTATTCCCCTCCAAAAAAAAAACGAACGATGAGCAATCGGAATCGAAGCCGAGATGTTTCATCAGAAGATGTTAATAAACAATCATCATCATCAGAATCTGGAATAATATTATCTTCTAAGAAACCTAATAAAACAGGTGATGTTGATGATCCACCATTTAGTCGACTTTTTTTACTTATACCAAAAGCTATGTCAGAAGATGAATTACGTAAAGCATTTCTTGTTCATGGAACAATTCAAGATATTCATATGGTACGAGATCGACGTAATCAAGAAAGCAAAGGTTTATATAATAAATTAATCATTTTTACTAATCCAATTTCTCTGTTATGTTTTTTTTTTTTTGTTCAAATAGGAATTGCTTATATTAAATATGAGAAAGCATCAGCAGCAGCTCGTGCTATGGAAGAAATGAATGGAACTGTTATTCCACCACATACACGTCCGGTGAAAGTAAATAATTTAGTATTTTTTTTTTGTTTGTGAAATTATTATACATAGAAATTATATTTAGGCTATTATATCAAGTTCACGTCGTGAAGGTAGTGTACGTGATCCAGATGAACATGAAAAAATGTTACGTTTATTTGTTGTTATATCAAAACATATGACTAAAGATGATTTACGTAAAGTATTCGAGGTAATATTTGATTGTTTTGTTTTTTTATCTACTAGGACAAGAAGAAAAATAAGGTTTTTTTTATTTATTATTATTATTATTTAGAAATATGGTTCAATTATTCATATTAAAGTTATTGTAGACAAATTAACAGGTGAAAATAAAGGATTTGCTTATATTTCATTTTCAAAAGCATCAGAAGCTGCTTATGCTTTGGAAGAATGTGATCCATGTAAGTATTTTTCTTTTCTTTCTTTTTCACGTATTTTTTTAAGTCAACACAAATAATAATAAGTTATCAGAACAAAAAAAAAAACATTCCAATCATATTTTTATCGTTTATAATTCGTTCGAGATTTCGAGATCTATGTTAATATTTTTAATAAGAAGTTTATTTATTTATTTTGTATTTGTTTATAAAATAAAATTATTTCATAGGTTATAAACCTAAATTTGCTGAACCATTTTCTTCAAAACGTCATCGTGATACTGAAGAAATTTTATCATCAACAGCATCATTATATGGAGCTGTTTCACCTCCTTATTGTCATAAAATACCAATAGGTAAACAACATCCATCACCATCATCAAATTCAACTGATCATCGACCATCTCCACCACCTTTACTTCCACTTCCACCATCACGTTCATTATCACATACAGAAACAAGTTTGTGTTTCTATAGATTTATTTACAAGAAAAAAAAAAAAAAAATATTCTTCACATTTATTTTTATTTAGATCAATCAATAACATCATCAGCTTATCATTTACTTGATAATAATAATGAACGTCGTTTAATTGTTCGTTGTGGTATAACAATAACAAATTATCATATATCAAAATTATTTGATCTTATACCAAATATGGAAGAATGTTCATCACTTAGTTTAAATACATTTAATGAACGTATGAAATTTTGAAATAATTCTTACAGAAAAACAAAAGAAAATATTTTTTTTTTTGTTGTCTTTAATTTAGATTATTTTATTGTACGTTATAAATCTTGTCAATTTGCAACATATGCACGTGAAAAACTGCATGCATTTCAATTTCCTGATGGTGAAATATTATCTGTTCAATATTATGATGAACAGTAAGACAAAAAACACAATTTTTTCTTTATTTATTAAAATGTTTTTAGAGTTGTTAATGATTTGATTAATCAATCACAAAATGGTAAATATGGTGATACATCAGGCATTGGACAATTAATACATCAAGTATATACAAAAAAAAAACATACTTTCGTTTTTTTTTTCTTTTTCTTATGAATAAAATTATTTATTTATTTTTTTTTTCAAGATGAGTAATTTACAAGGTAGTCAAGAACAATATGTTGATTATTGTAATATACCATTACCACCTAAACAAAAATATTCTTCATTTGATGCACCTGTAAGTTCGTAAGGATTTCAACAATAAGAAATTATAAATTTAAAAATTGATAATAGAAAAAAAAATAGTATTGACAATGTTTTATCTAAATGTTTGCTTCCGGAAGGATGATGATTTTATTCGAAGAGTATAAACTTTAGTACGTAGTATAATAATCATAAACTTTGGAAGAGCATCACCTTTACGCTCGGAAAAATACTACTCAAATGAGTTTTCAATATTTAATATTGTTAAAATATCTTTTTTTGACATAGTCTAGTATCATTTCCGTACTTAAGTTATCTATTGACAGAAAAATATTATGTCATATAAGTTAATAAATAAGGACATTTTCCTTTCTTTATGCAAAAAAAAAACAATTCAAATAGTTTGAGTACATATCTAAAAATTTTATCATATAAAATAATGTCAATTCAAAATCTTACAAATATGATAAGATGATTGATTCTGACATTTTTGTTTTTCATGAATATAAAGAAATAAAACAGATCCATCATTTCCCGCCAACCAATGGTAGGAACTTAGAAGAAAAAATCTGATCGTCAAATTTAAGTTTCTACCATTGTTCTGAGCTTTTCGTATAGAATTGACTATACTACATTCATTTGATATCTATTCAGTTATATTTTTCAATTAATAGTAACTAAATTTATGAGACTAGAATGATCAGTAGCATATAGAAAATTGTAGATTACGATCATTTTCATTCTTAATAATGCCAAATATCTTTATTTTCTAAATAAAATTAAAAAAATATTATTTAGGTTGCTAAAACTTTACAAATAATGCCACAACGTCCAATATCAGAAGATTATATTCGTGATGTATTTAATCGTTTTGGAAATTTAATTGATGTTCGTATGATAAATCCTCAATTATGTTATGTTATGTTCAGTGATGAAAATAGTGCTGATACAGCTATTGAAACAATGAATGGACAAGAAATAGCATTAGTACGTATACGTATTATTGAAAGTGATAAGTCTGTTGATTCAACAACGGCTTCTGTTGTACATCGAAAACGACAAAAAGTGTGAGTGAAATATACATAAATACATAAAAAAAAAAAAACGACATATACATCTTCTCTTGACTTTTCGACTCGGACTTATTAAGACATTGACTTGTTTATTTTCTTTTTTTTTTGTTTTTTCATGATGCATGCACATAGACAAACTAATCCATTTTGTTTACTTTTATTTATTAATCCTTTCTGAAGCAAATATATATTCATGTTTGATCCGTACAGTTTCTTGTTCTGTTGTATTTTGATTGTTTTGTTTTCATCATTGTCGTCGTACATTTGGTTGGTTTTTTTGTTTTTCTTCTCTTCTAGATCGACGAAGATTTTTCTTTTTCTTTTTTTTTTTTTGTCTGTATTTAGTAAAGAATCAGTCGAAATATAATAAATTAAAAACATGACTTTTAGACAAAACATATATGACTTTCGGACTGAGAAGATGTTTATTTATTATTTGACAAAGAAAAAGAAATATGTATTCTTTGCTTTTTTTTTTTTTATTTAAAGGTTCAAAGATCAAATAATTTGAATGTTCTAATGGGTAAATAGAGTTTTCTTTAATAAATTCAAATAATGACATTGGAATTGGATATCAATAACAAAATAGTAAACAAGTAAATGCTCCCTTTTGTAGATCTTCCTTTTCATAAAACTGCTTTGTATTTGAGTAAACTTTTTTGTTTTTTAATGAAGATATTTAAAGCTAGGGATATTGCAGTTGCAATAAACCATTGATTGATCATCCGTACAAGCATTCACTATTATATGCTAATACTCATTGAAATACTGATATTGATTTCTAACTAATTCATTTGATTTTATGATTAATTTCAGGTAAAACTTATGAACAAAATCATCGAAGAAATATTGTATCGTTTTTATTAACATCTATTAAAAGAAGATAATACTTGGATATTAAACACAACTATAGAAATTTTTAAAGGTAAATCATTTAATTTAATGAAATAGATGTGAATATTTATTGAAAATTTAAATAGTTTCGTTCAGTATTTATAAAATGAATTATGACAAATAAGTAACGACAAGAATAGTGAATATAATGGTTAATGAAGATATTGATGATATATATCAATCGGATCGATCATTAACATATGAAGAATTTCTTTGTATACGATATTGAGATTTATGTAATCAAAGTAAGTGAAAAAGAAACAAACCAAGTAATTTTATTGATTTATTCTTAATTTAATTATTTAATTGATAATTGTGATAATGAATTCAATACATCAAATGATTAATTCATTGAATGAATTGTAACTTTTCTAGTGTTTTTCGTTCTGAAACATCGAATATTCGAAATTTTCTCAAGTACAAAAAAGGAAAATTGTATTGGAATATTTGCATTTCTAAAAAGAAAATAAGAGAAAATCTAAAATTTTATACAATCAACTAATCTCATTAAGAACTTTTCACCGGTTCCTACAGAAAAACACCGGAAATCGAAGGAACATGGAAGCAGTATTCCGGTGAAACGATCCGATTCCTGGCGAAACCGACAGAAACTTGAAAAACCCGGCAGCCGAATACGATCATCGGATTCCTGCATCGAATTTCTGGCATTTTTCCACGGGCTCCGGCCGGAAACGGTGTGTTTCCTGCGGGTTTTCGCTGGAAATTCACGGAACACTGCTTCAGGAATCATCAACCTGGGATGATGAGGACCACAACTTTTTGTTAAAAAATTCAGTAAAACTTTAATATTTGAAGACCAAAGATCCCGAAAATCAAACCATTCTAATCCTCTCTATTATTCATTAAATAAATGTTATTTCGATAGAAA